GAGGACCAAAGAGTCCTCTTAATTTTCCATTATCCCTAGCACACCACTCCCTTCAAAGACATTGTTGTGTTGGGTAACTGCATTTCCCCCCTCCTGTGGGGATTGTCATTCCCACAGCAGAAAGCTCACTTTGACCTGTGCTCACTTTTGCTTTGTTCAAAGAGAAGAACTATGATTCTGTGGAACCACGAGACCAAAATCATGTTACTATCTGCATTTGGGATATTTTCCCAGACTTCATAGAAGTAAGAGACCTGTTTCTAGGAGGAATATGGCTTCATATTAACAGATTTAGCTTTACATGTTTGTCTTCTTCCCATATACTCTTTCCTTGCCAAAATGTACAATTACATTACGGATGGGTTTATGGAACAGTTGTGCATTTGTCTGTTTTCTGAAAGCTGCTAATATGATTGAAATTGACATTTCTTTTGTGATGTTTACTCTTTGATGGCCTTCTTTGAGGCCTCCCTCCACTCACTATATTTAGGTGTGCTTCTTTGTTAATACATTTCAGATATGTTTTAAACCTGTTTTTTTATTTGCCCCACTGTATTTAAAGGTGATAATACTATTGCTTATCTGTGCATAGTTGCTTGAAAAGTGCGTAAGATGAGTTTACCTCCCTTAGGAGCTCATCTAACTCAAATAAGGTGTGCAGTGGGGCAATGTGGGTACCTGCAGGTGCTGGAGCAACCTTGTGTTCTGAATAGCTATACCAGTGATGAGCTGTGGTGCCTTAGACATGCCTTAAACAGATGCTGTGAAGTACTGGCCCTGTGTGGCTTGAATTACTTTACAAGCAGGTAGGATTTGTATGAGTGGAACAGCCCTCCTTGTGATTTCCAAGTCAGAGGGAGTCTGCATGTGCAGAGGGATGTGGACAAGTGACCAGGGAAGTGCCTGTGTACTGAGGAGAACCTGAGGTGTGTGAGGGCAGGTATGTGCAAGTGAGCATGTGTATTTGACAGAGTATATGTCTGAGCCTGTGTGCTCTCCTGTGGCAGCCGTGTGAGTTTGACTCAGGCCATTCTCCAGCTGTGTAAATACATTGCTTAGCAATTTGAGGACTCTGGTTAATGATTTCCATTAGCACAGGGCCCATATTAGGCTTCGTTTTGTGAGCAGTACCCAGCAGTCCAAATGCCATTAGAGTGAACACATGAGCCTTTAATGTCAGGTGTGTATTGTTTGCACTCTCAGGAGCCTCTGCAGGAGCTGGTCTGGGGTTGCTCACCAGGGGCTGTCAGGGAGATTTATGGCAAGCTCTCTGGGGGCCTGCTGCAGACATCAGCAACAACTCTTAACACCCTTCCCTAGTCAAAGCAAAGTCCCAGGCATGGTGTATCCAAGGAGAAGGGCAGGCTGGCTAGGATGTTTTCCCAGACTACAGGGAGGCTGCTGGCCCAAGCAACAGGGTGGCAGGAATGAGTTCCCCTCTTTGGCAGCAGGCTCTATTCATTTTTGTTCTGGAAATACATCTACAGAGCTTTGCCTTGTGCTACTCATCAGGACCAAACCACCACATGCTGTGATCCGAAATGGTGTCTTGGACTAAGCCAGATGAGGCCTGGTCATCCTGAGAGCTGGATGTAAACTCCAATCTAAAAATGCTCCTCTGCAAGAAGAGAGTTGAGGATCTGGAGATTTCTTACCTCCAGCAGGTACCTCTGGTACTGCCCTATCAGTCAGGGAGCATATGCACAAGGATCCTGCATTGCTCAGGGTTATAAAGGAGTGCAGATTGGTCAGGGTGTTGCTATGGAGGAGGGCAGTCAGGTTACTGCCTCTCCTATTATTGCCTGCAGTTGGGCACAGGCCCTTTTTCACTCTGCCCTTGTCTGCTGTTGTTGAAAGCTAGTTGTCATCTTGTGGCTGCTTGAGAGGTGCCATGATGAAAAGCAGGATTGGGTGCATTTTGAGCCTCACTTGCAGCTGCCTGACTATCCATGAATCTCAGCGTCCTCCTGTGTCTTCTCCCATCCCTGACCTTCAACCTCAACTCTTGTTCTGTGCCCTGGGAGTCCTGCCCTGTGCCCTGGGAAGGCTCTCTGCCCCACACATTGGCCCCAGAAGAAGACCCAGAGAAAAACCATAGCACAACTTTTCATCCAGAGCCTGGTGAGTTTTGTAGATGATTTTTGTCTGTCCTTTGGACCATCTTTCCCGAGCCCCTTCATCTGCTGTCTGCCAGAAATGAATGGATTCAGCTGCCTTCCTTAATCCTGTCTGGCGTTTCAAAATGGAGGGGACTGCCAGGTTCCTTGTTCCCATTCCCTCTCTCCCTGGAGGGACCCTCTCTCCTCTGGAGAAGGACAAATGTGCTGATTTATCCTGGCCCTTAGCTTTGAATAGGGGTTGCTATGTTACCCTCCAGGCCTGAGACCTGCCAGAGCATATACCATATATAACTCCACAGCAAGTGGCTATTGAGTAAAGGCCCTAAAATCTCCCTCTCTTGTTTCTTACACTGCTGGCCAAGGTGTCAGGGGGATGTAGCAGGGCATGATTTGCTGACTGAAACTCCAGGCACAGCTGATGCCAAGCACCATGTTGGCATTTTCCATTCTCACAAGCCCGTCTTAATTTTTAGAAGAGATACCAACTAGGCAGGAACACACTGTCTACACTAGCTTTTAGAGGTTTTTCCTGACATGAGGGCTGCTGCCCCATGGGGCTGAGCTGTGACCAAGAACTTGGAGACAAGAGGCTTCCAGATCCTGCTGCAGTTACTGAGGTACTCAGGGCCTGGCTTGGACCTTCCTTAGCTCACTCTGATTTGCTATGTGTGTTTGGGTGAGAAAAACTATCTGAACAGCTTTTTTAGGGCGTTTGTGTGTTGTTGTCTTGTGATGACAAATTAAAGCCCAGGCAGAGGAGAGGTGCAGGCATCAAAACATCACCTTGCCATGCTGTTAGGTAGTTGCACCTGTGTGATAGACCTGAATCTGAAGTGCTAAAATGAACCTCTGTTTTCTGTTAGACAGTAGAGTTGGTAATTGTTCTTTAAAAGCCTAATTTTTTGAGTAACAGTCCCACAGTGCAGGTTAAACAAAGGACACCATGGTTCCAGTTAGGAAAGACCTAGAAAAGGAGCAGGGAGTCAGTTAGATAACACCAGAACCCAGTCTGAATCATGTAGAATGTTAAGAGTTGGAAGTGACATTAAAGATCATCTAATCTAATTTTCTAATCCCATCTGCCATGGGTAGGGACACCTCCCATCAGACCAGGCTGCTCAAGGCCTTATCAACCTCACCTTGAACACCGCCAGGGTTGGGGAATTCACAACCTCTGTGAATTCCTGTTCCAGTGTCTCACCACCCTCACAGGAAAGTATTTCTTCCTAATATCTAGACTAAATATCATCTCTTCCAATTTGTACCCATAGCTCCTTATCCTGTCACTACAGGTCTTGAAGAAGAGTCTCTCTCTGGCTTCCCTATAGACCCTTTCCAGGACTGGAAGGTTCCTGTGAGGTCTCCAAACTGCCTTCTTTCCCTCCAGGCTGAACAGCTCCAACTTTCTCAGCTTGTCTTCACTGGGGAGGTGCTCCAGTCCTCTTAACAACTTCATGTCTTCCTTTGGACTTGCTCCAACAATTTCATGTCCTTCTTCTGTTGGGGGCTCCACAGCTGGATACAGTACTCCAGGTGGGGTCTCACCAGGAGCAGAGTAGAGGGGGAGAATCACTTCCTTTGACCTGCTGGCCGTTTTGCTTTTGATGCAGCCCAGGATTCCATTGGCTTTCTGAGCTGTGAGTGCATAGTGCCAGCTCACATTGAGTTTTTCATCAACCACCACCCCCAAGTCCTTTTCTGCAGGGCTGCTCTCAATTTCTTCTCTGCCCAACATGTAGGTATTTGGGTTTTTTCTAACCCATTTCTCATTGGGTTTTTCCAAACCTCTGTGAAAACAGTGGTAAAGCCCTTCCCAAGAGTAATGGAAGTGAGATGAGAGTAGGGGACATTTGCATGAGTTCTGAGCTGCTGGGCTTCCCACATATTCTTTGGTTTAATCATGATTAAACACTTTCCTGGACCATAGAGCAGTGAGACCTCCTCCCGTGGCCAAAAAATATCAGTGAAGTAGGTGTCCCACTAGTGCTTCTGCTTGCATAAGGAAAGAAACAAACCAAAGTTCCTGAAAAGTAAAAGGAAAGCTCTTCACATTTAACAGAGTGGAATAACTTCTTTGGCACCATAATCTCTCTGGGGATCCTTATATACCAGCATAGTAGAAACGCCTAGTGGAAAACAGCATTTCTGTCCTGTCACACAATGCAGGGAGTACATGGCTATTTCTGCCCTCCTTACTCTGGATCTGCACAGACCATGCTCTAAACACTGAGCAAAAGGGGAGAGAATGGTCTTTAGTGGCCATGGTAGAAACCAGTCTGTTAGGCCTTTTCCTCCAAGCATCTCTAAGCCATTCCTCTTCAAACTGTAGAGTCTGGAACCAAAACCCTGGACAGTTTCAGCATACCTGGGACTTTATCTTAAAGAGTGGTTTGTAAATCCTTATTGGAGAGCTGTTGACAAATGGGGCTGAAGTACACATTTCCAGAGATTACTTTGTTTGTCTTCATGCTCTAAAGGTGTATCAGATCTTATTTCAAGGCCAAGAGAATTTAGCTTTTCCATGTGATACCTTTTGGTAATGATGCTTTTCTGACTCTAATACTCTAAATGCATCATGGATATCCTGTTTCACTTGGTGGCTACAGGTGCCATGGAACCTATTCATGTGTATTCTAGGGACCTCAGTCCTAGAGGAAGGGAGGTGTGCCTGCATTTTATCTTGAAGGGTAAGAGCAAGGATGTGAGCAAAATGCTTCCACTTCTTATGTTAGTGCCATTTGCTGCAAGGGAAAGCATCACCACTCATTCAAGGAGGTGCAATTGTATCGGAGAGGGGGATGACAAAGCACTCAAGGGAAGAACTTAGTGTTAGCAGCTGATATGAGCACTGACTTCATGCCTCTTTTTATTTCCCTGCAGAGCATCAACGGAGGCCGCCTGCCACCCCACTTTATGTATGATCCCTCCACTTTTGCCTTCCGTTCCCTCAGCACCTTGAAGCCGCTGAGCCCAATAGCTCCAGTGGAAGAACCGTCATGTGCCTACTGAAGGAGTTTCTTCGAAAAACCTCAGGAACTATCAACCAGTGTCCTGCCTGGCAGGGAGAAGGGGAGGTGGTGATACCCAAGGGGAGGGGTGAGAGAAGAAGGGGCAATGACACATCTTTGCAATGTAGCTGCTCTGGCAGGAGGAAGCAAACGGCTTGGCAGCAGTGCCTGTTCTCATACCACTGATGGATCCAAGCAGTGGCAAAGGGAGTGAGTTTTGTCTTTCAGGGCAAAGCAAACCAGTCAGGTCCACAAACCACAAGAACTGCCACCAAGGCAGTGTCAAACATGAAGATGGTGGTAACTGAAGATACCCAGGAGGTGTTCAGGGATTAGTGTGACCTGCATGGCAGCAGGGGTGAGTGATCAAGCTGTGAAACCAAATCCAGTCAGTTTCCCAAGGATACCTGGGTCTACAGTGCTTTGCTGTAGACCTGACACTTCTCCCACTCAAAAGTGAGTTCAGGATTGTAGAAAGAAGCTATACAGAGCTGCTTTCAAAACAAGAAGACCCCTGTCTGAGATTGTTATAATTGCATTCACATCAAGCTCTCTTAAGTGGAAAACCCTAGGACAGGGAGGTGTGTGGATAAGTAACTGGCACATTTAGCTGTGCATTCCAGATGATCTGCGGGCAATTCAGTGATACTGTCCAAAAAGAGATTGGAATGGGAGAGTGAGACATCCGTATGTAGATCTGGGATTAGAATAAAATTCTAAAATTGGAAGGTCTGTGTTGAGCCATCCAGGAAAACGCAACACCCACCTTCAGTCCTCTCAGCATCATCAAAGAGAAGACTTGCGGTTGACTGTATGCTCATGGATCTCCTCACTGCTGAGGCAGTGTGTATTCCGGGTTATGTAATACTTCTCCATAGTTTTGTTCCATTACATGATGGTGGAGGTAACTGGTACCACCAAACTCAAACCAATTTAATGTCTACAGCAAGCTTTCCACTCCCCTTTTTTAGGCTAGCTGTTAAATTCGGATACACTCTTCTGGTATCAGTGGAACAATATTCTTAGATGAAGCAAGGAGTAGGAAAAAGCAATCGATTTTGTGGCTGTTGGTGGAAGAAATAGGAGGGGAGTTTGAGTGAAGGTGGGGGACATTTCTCCATAGACACTTCTGAAGCTGTTGGAACCATGCTAGGTGTTTGACTGCGATCTTTCCTCGAGGCATGTGTGTGTTTTGTGCCACAAGGCAGGAGTTAATAGAACAAGCTCTTGCCTCTCCTGCTGAGGCAGAGGAACAAGGCCTTTCCTCTTGCTGCACCTGGTGGAGAGAGTAACCTCTTTGTGTAGGCATTCCCCACCATAAGCCTGTAAACGAGTGCATGGTGAAGCAAGTTGTTTACTGTTTGTCCAGATCAAGAGGAGCAACTGTGAGTAATACAAAATAATTTTTGTTTTTTTAAATCTGCCTCAGTGTAGAGTCTTTGATGCTGTTCTTTGGTTAAGACAAATGGTCAGTCCCGCTGCCAGTAGGAGGCTACCAGTGAACTGGTGTGGGCCTTTCACTGAGACCTCTTGGGAAAATCCAAAGCTTGGGGTAGCTTGGGGACCTGAATCCCCCACCCCACCCTTTTCTCCCTAACTCCTGTCATTCAGGCAGGCAGAGGAGCTGGAGAAGGTGGTGAGGGGGTGTCTGTCCTGATGCTGTCCCATGTTCTTTGGTTCCAGACTGTTACAGCCAGGCCACCCCCTGCACCAGCACCACCTCCAAGAGGTCACTTGTGTTTACTGGTGCGGGATCTCTGGCAGACTGTCATGGTTCCCTTCAAGTCCCTATTTCCAAGAGAGCTCAATTCCTCTGCTGATTCCTCTTGCCTCTGTATAAATTTTGCTTATCTTGTTTTGATGGCACACCTCAGCTTTTTAACTGCTGCCAGATCAAGCTGACCGGTGCAGGACAGGAAGCATTGCTCCTTTGGACCTGTGCTCAGGACATGGGACAGCCATAGCCTGGTACCCATCTAAGAGGCATATTCCTTGAGCAAATGCCTGGGGTGGCAGCCCCTGCGTGGCCGTGCAGCCTCAGGCTTTACTCAGCAAGAGCTGCCAAGGTGCCGGGGCCCAGAGGTGTGTCCCTGCCAACCAGCAGGTGGGGCAGGCTGCCTTGCCCCGGAGGGTGGGAGCAGGGAAGAGGGATGTCCTGCCGATATCGTTGCCTTTTACTACTTTTGTAACTTTTCTCTGTCTTTTCTTTTCAATCAGAAGAAAAAATAAAAAAAAGAAATTAAAAACCCCACAAGGAAATAAAGTGTAACAGCCGCTATATTTACACCTCTGGTGGGTCTCATGTGTTTGCCATCGTCTAGGTGATTGTGGGCAGTGGTATGGAGGGGGTGGAGTAGAGTGAGCTACGATACAGTGCATCCAGTCCCCCAAGCATTCCACAATGCAAGGAGGCCACATCTGCAAGTGAATGGCTTTGAAAATGAGGATCTTTTCCAGAATGAATGCCAGGTTCTTTGTATGTGCTCCATTTGAGCTATGCTGTACTGGTATGCTGTATTGTTCCCCACTGGTGCTTCCCTCACCAGGATGGTGCTTTGGCTTTTGAGTAACTTGCCTATTGCTTGGGCAAGTCAAATATAGCCTGACTGGAGGTTTCCAGTCCCCCCAAAACAGAAGGTGGGTAACTACCCCAGTGGTCTTTGACTTGAAATTTCAACTTCAGGAAGTCCTGCATATCTGTCCTGAGATTCTCCACAGCCCTTTTGTTTATGGTGAGAGCACTTTTCCTTCCTTCTTCATAATTTAGCTATAGTTCACCCCTTCCTCTGTTTTTTGCTCTAAATACTCCATCTTGGGTACTTGTAATGTGCATTCCCCACCCCTTGCTATGTCCTTGAGCTAATTCCTGTCTCTCCCACAATCCTAACTCTGTGTCTTCACCAGCATCTCACAAAGCTATTACCAATGTCCCCTTTTTCAAAGCCTCCTGAGAGATATTAGCATAAATTCCCTTAGAAGTCCTACTTAGTTTCCTTACCAGGACACCTTTTCCATTCTTCCCTCCAAGCTCTGATCTCCTCTAGGCTTCTTGCCGTCTCTCTTATCTTGAAATCCTCCCCTTTCTGCCACCTGCAGTTTGTTATTGGCCTTGACCAATTTTGCAAGGGTTGTAGGGTGACTTGCTGGCTCCCCTGAGCCCTTGCTCTTGTACCTCATTTACAGAATGCTTTTCTCTGGGTTGTTTCTTCCAGTACAGCCTGATCCCTCAGTGCACCCACCCTTGGAGCCCCAGATGCTGTTCAAAACCATGGTGGTGGCTATGACTCCACAAACCCTGATCATCTGTAGGCCTCTGCCAGGTCAAGCTTGTTGTAAGTCTGTTTTGTGTATGCAGAGAGAGGGGATGCATTGACCTTGTATCTGCTAGGCCAGAGGTATGGACACCAAGCGCTCTGAAGCCAGGGAATAGCTGGTGAAGGGCAGGAAGCTGGCATACAGCTTGGCATTGCACAGCCAGCCCATTGACCACAGTGAGCTGGGGGTAGAGCTGCTGCTGCTGCCCCGGGGCTGTTGTCTGGGCCTCCAGCACATGTTTGGATTTAGTTCAATTGTGCCCAGCCATCATCTCTCCCTGCAAGCTGGGCCTCTGGGTTAACAACAAAACAGGACAGATTGTGAAATGTGGTGAAATGTGGTGATAAACTGCCATATGGCAGCAACTCTGAAACTCAAAGGCAGGTTAGGAGTATTCATGAAGATCTTACAGGGTACTTTTCAGCTGTAGTTACCAATGTTACTGACAAACGAGAGTCAGGATGTTGGCCTCCTTGGGATGCCAGACCCTGGCATGTGGGAACCGTTTTCCAAAGCCCACTGCAGGAGATACCAGTAGAAACCAGGAAAATGAGAGCTGAGCTGTGGTCTTTGAGCTATGGTCTTTGCTGTAGCCACTGCCCCTTGTTGCTTCCTCTGGGATCCATCAGAGTGGGCAGGGATGCTGGCTGAGGTATAAACAAAGCACTGTGTGCGCGGTCAGCTTGGTGTGGGTCCCTCGGGACCTCTGCTTTGCTGGAGCTACTGGCTTCCCACCAGGTTTGGGTCCTGGCTCAGCAGGGGGGCCTGTAACTTCTAATCTGCACCCTTTCTCTGCTCTGAGCCATCTTGCTTGGAGACGTGCAGGTGTTTCCCTTCAGAGCAGAAAACATCCTGTGAAGAGGGCAGGGCTGTTGTGCCAAAGTGCAGTTCAGTTGTGTTAACTATCTGCAGGAGGGTGAATGGGGACAAGCTGTTTGAAGACTGTTTGAAGAGTTTGGCTATGGCTTCTCTACAATTTAAGGAGGACCTTTTAAGCTAATACTGTTCTCCAGTTAAAGTAAATTAATTGGGGTAATGCTATGGCCTTTCAAAAATAACAGAGAGGAACCAAGATCACAGCAGTGGCAAAATGTATTGTTACATGTATACCCTGAGCCTTGGTGAGTCCCTTTGCAGCCAGCACACAGAATTCTCTTGTCTTTGTGTTGTCCAAACATCATTTTCTGACATATATGTATGTACATGCATGCATACCTGTGATATACATATACATATATGTATACGTATATATATATGTATATATTTCTGTCTCACTGTGTTTTATTTGTGCAGAAATCTCTGTCCTCTGACAGCCACCCATGAGCAGGGTGCCCTGTGCTCACCTGGGTCATCTTTGACAGGGATGTGAAGCCCATCTGTGGCACACTCACCACCTCTGTGCTGCAAAGCACAGTAGTGCTTGGAAAACCCACCCACCACCCTGTTTCCAGCTGCATGCTGAGTGTTGACCCATCTGCCTACCTATGGGATTGACTGGTAAAATGGGAAAAACTGGCAGTGCTGCTGCGGCCAGGGTTCTCACCGAAGGTTCAATGGAGGCCGCTGAAACATGGCTTGGCACAGGAAAAACTGAGAAGCAGAATTTCTAGCTGGGCAGACCATCTCATTCATGCAACTTCGGGCTTTCCCTTGCTCTTCGTGAAGGTGCACAGCATGTTGTGGCACAATGTGAGGTGGAAGAATGCATTCAAAGGTGTGTATCAAGTTAGGATTGAATGGGGTATGTACAGACACAGCATGGGTGTATAGACACAGTGCATTTACAGTGGCATTTATGTACCTGTGGGGTTTGTATTTATGGCATATTAGTTATATTTTAATCAGAAGGACATATTGGAGGAGTAAAGATAAAGGGGCATGCATGCATGCAAGTGTGGTTCTGGAAGGATGGATGCTAGTGGATGTGCATCTGGAGCATGGGCAGGAGAACCTGTGCAGAGGATGAGCATGAATGAGGCTGTGTGCTCACAGGTGTCTGCAGGCAGTGATGCATGGAGGACATACAGATGGTTTATATATGCCAAGGCAGGGATGGTATTTCTTTCCTGTTTCTGCAGTCTCATCCATTATGGTAATAACTGGCAGACTTTTGCAGTGCATCACACCAGTAATGATTGGAAAAGTGAAGAAACATTTTCAAATGCCTGATCTGTGCCCTTGAGGCGCTTGGGAGCTCTCACCATTAAACTAAAAAGAAGCAGGCACCTGGATATCGGTGACTCAAAATGATCTCAATACAAATTAGAGTGTGATTGTATTCTGTTGCTTCTCAGACAAGAACTTCAGGGACATCAAATAGAAGTAGCAGGTGGCAGGTTCAAAGCAAACAACCAGAGGCAGATTTGCACTGAGTGTGGGGTTGCACTGGGGAACCCTGTGCCACAGGATGCTGTTGCTGCTTTACACAGCTACAGGGAAAGGAAAGGTGCGGAAAGGTGCGGAAAGGAAAGGTGCGGAAAGGAAAAGGAAAAGGAAAAGGAAGAGGAAGAGGAAGAGGAAAAGGAAAGGAAAGGAAAGGCAAGGAAAGGCAAGGAAAGGCAAGGAAAGGCAAGGAAAGGCAAGGAAAGGCAAGGAAAGGCAAGGAAAGGCAAGGAAAGGCAAGGAAAGGCAAGGAAAGGCAAGGAAAGGCAAGGAAAGGCAAGGAAAGGCAAGGAAAGGCAAGGAAAGGCAAGGAAAGGCAAGGAAAGGCAAGGAAAGGCAAGGAAAGGCAAGGAAAGGCAAGGAAAGGCAAGGAAAGGCAAGGAAAGGCAAGGAAAGGCAAGGAAAGGCAAGGAAAGGCAAGGAAAGGCAAGGAAAGGCAAGGAAAGGCAAGGAAAGGCAAGGAAAGGCAAGGAAAGGCAAGGAAAGGAAAGGAAACGAAAGGAAAGGAAAGGAGAGGAAAGGAAAGGAAAGGAAAGGAAAAAAGAAAAAGAATGAGATAAGATACTCTCTAGGAAACTACATGCACAAATGCCACCTCTGGTTGAGAAGGGTGGTGACATAGGGGCATTTTCTGGGGTAGGTTACTGTATGCCAGTCCCACCTCTACCCCCTCCTCAGTGGCAGGGTCTGCTCCTGCCAGGTTTCCAGGTGGGCTAGTAGCTCCAAACAGGCACATGCATCAGCAACCAACTCTGTCAAGCCAGCACTGCCTTGTTTGCATGTTCATTGCCTTTACACTTCCAAGAATTTTTTCACGGGGAGGTCTCAGTAGTGACTTGGCCCTCGTGTTTGATGGCAAGGCTGGGGGTGACCCCATTCATCTACTGTGCTGCTACTCAGGGAGTGCTTGAAACCTGAGCTGCTTGCTGATCTATCTGCATGGCTGCACATGGGCATCCTGCAGATCCTTCCTGCCCTCAATGTGTGGGTGCTGGGGCCTTCTCGGAGAACACTGGTTCATCAGGGCTGTGTGTCATTGTCCCTTGGCACAGCAAGGCTGAGCCTGAATCATCCATGGTTGTTGTGTGCAGAGGCCGGTCACAAAGGCATAGCTCAAATTTCTGAAGTGTGTGAGGTCTGTCCTGGGTGGCTTGCCAGTGTTCATGTGTCATAGGAACAAAGTGAGTTTGGTTTGAACACTGCTGCAGGCTTATGATGGGTATGTTATGCATGGAATCTTCTTTTGATATTTAGGAATATTACAGGAAAGCAAGGACAAGCATCCTCCAGTGATGGGTAACCCTCATGTGGTTAACCTCAACCCAGCAAGGCAAAGAGAATGCAACTGAAGCAGCAAGGTTCTGCAAAAGTAACAGCAGTGATGATAAGAACATGTAAGCATGTTGGTATCGCACCATTTCCTGAGCTAGATTTCAGTGGGCTTATTCAAGCAAAGGGGTGAGGGTGCAGAAGTTGTGGATGCTTTGAGAACCCACTCTGGCTGTAGCTGCACACCAGCCTGGCAGGACCTGACCTCATGT